CAGAGAGCCCCCTTTTATAGGCTCAGACCGGAAGACGAAACGTCGCATCTCGGGCGAAATGCCAGGACGGCACAGCGAGCCAATCAGGGTAGGACTTCGGGCTGGGCTTAATCTGTTTTGGGCCTAGAACTCGCAACGGACGAACGGCAAAATTCGGCCCACCTCTTCTGCCGACTAGGGGGGCTACTGTTGGGCCTAGACTTGTGGCCCATTAGATTCTGCGGCCTAAACAATTCGCAGCCCGCAAACAGTAAAGCCCAACTCAAACAGTAACCGCGATCTGGTTAAACGTGAGTCAGATTCTGTAACTACAGTTAATAAAACCTAGGATGTACCCTCAACTTTGTACTATAAATAGGAGTACAACGTGATGTGACCATTCATCTTCCATTCCTCTGAAAAGAGTACAAGAGATCCAGAGCATTTACCGTTCAGGTCTCTAACTCCGACAGAGAGCTCGCCGGGAGGTCACAACCGACCGGAAAATACCGAAAACGTTTACATACCTTTATTAGCTCGCAAAGAACCGAGTAGCCCGGGATCTGTCCGGCCTACTACACTCTTTCTGATCTATAGCAATCTGATAGTTCGGAATCTGTCCAGACTATCAGCTGCGGTCTACTTTGTAATGTTTATTTCGGGTTCAAACTCTAATACACGAAATTCTTCGACCTTCTGTCTACTACAAATTCATTGTTGAGTCCTTCTGGGTTAAACAATAACACTTGTTTCCTGGAAAAAAAGGCCTACTCGTTGAATATTAAATAGTTCTCATTTTTGTTAGTTTGGATCTTCTGAAGGAGAACAAATCTAATCTCACCTCTACATGTCAAAGAGTCCAAAATCTAGGAAGTCTATATACACAGCATGTTAAACGCAAGAAAAATGAGGGGGAGATAGTGAAAATTCTAAAAACCAATTGATGAATTGTCTCTTCGAGAATTAGACGTGTGCATGGTTAATAAGTCTACGAAAAGCCTGTATACGTTTGACATTATATGATTAGTTTGTTTTATAATTTAAATAATCATACGATTAATTTTGTGCTCTAATTAAGACTTTAACTCAACAATCAACAAATATTATACGATTAATTTTGTGCTCTAATAATTTATCAAGATATTAAACATTTCAATCTAAAATAATTCATAAAATTTAATTCTAATATTTGGGCACTTATAGGAAACCAAGTATTTGCATTATAGATTCGAACGGAAGACATTCGAAACTCGATTATAGTTACATATTTTCATCCACCTCTTTTGTATGCCTAGACCAAAAAACAATAGACCTTCTGTAATTCTGTACGGATTTGCAGTTTAAACAAAATTTAAGTATATACAGAAAAACAATCAATTTACTTATTGTAAATACATAATGAACTAGGTTAAATCTCTTTAAATTTGATAAGTTCATTTTTTGTAGTCATATATGTAAAATTCATTGCATTTAGCCATTTACGTTTAAGAGGAGCTTTTCCAGCACCAATCGATAATCTTATATGTGGTTGAAGATATATAGTCCCGCAAGAGCTTCAACTTGATTGATGAAGGTAGTTATTATTTTCACTTATGGAGTGTAGTAATCTTGAGTTCACGGGAGGTAACTTCTTCTTTATTACTTGTAAATTAAAAGTTTCAAAAGTCATTTATATATTTGGAGGTCAAGTAAGGGAAACTTTAGAATGATTTGGACCCCAAAGGCATTATAAAGTTGCAGTTAACTTTTAATTCATCTTTGGAGGTGAGGAAGACAAAACAAAGTACATACATTTATTTCATTACTTTTTTGGAGATGAAAGCATTTGCATGCTTTGTCTCCTTCTCATCTCCAATAATTCAAGTTTTCTATGGATCACATGTA